CTGCCGAAGAGAACCTCTTCAAGGTGCTTTATGGATCAGGATACTAGTACTCTGGTGCTTTGCACTTGCCTCTTTGCAGGAAGATCTCTATTCCTCTTCAAATCTGTTTGAAGCCTTTATATATGCATCATTCTGTTAATGTATTCCCCAAAGTCTTCCCTCATTCCTGCTATTGTTGCTATTTCCCCCCAGTTGAAGCTACACCATGAGACTGTTTGTCTGCGCTCTGCTTGTGACGATCGTTGCTGTGGCGATGCTGGTTGACGACGCCCAAAGCTGGAGGAGGAGGAGGAGGAGAAGGGCCCCTGGTAGGTTTGTGAAGCATTTCTAAAACTAGACAAAGGTAACATATGCAAAGCAAATGCATCACGTGAACCCTTGTCCTGCTGTTTTTGTTACGTATTTTTTTCATTAATTTCATATCTTTACCAGGTCATGAAACTCATATGGCGAATTCAGTGCGTTTCGCTGCGGTGCAATGCGTTCATGTGAGAAATACTCCCAACCCATATATAAGTATACCTATAAATATATGTGCAGCCCATATACATGTATATTTAATATATAGTATATGGATCCAACAGATGTAAGGCCTGGGAAAAAATGTTTTATTTCCTGTTTCCCAACCGACCCTGGACTTTTTTTGTGTGGACAAGGGACATACATTGTTTTTTAGCTGATTGACCTTTTCTAGCTCCATGATCTGACACCCAAGCTAGTGATAAAATGTTGTACAATCAGTTTTCCAACATAATGATTGATATTGAGAATATAAGTGTCCTGATGTAAGTTTTACTTTGTTAATCTGTATTGTATAAGTTGGAAATCCCTACCTACCGATCCTAGTTTTTTCAGGACTGAAACAGGAAATTTCTAAAGACATCATTTTTACTAGGCCTTAGCAGGATATGGATAGCAATATCTTATGCCTTTCTATATGCTTCTTCCAGCGGATGATACAGCGCAAGAGCTGAGGGAGGTTGTGGAAGAGACAGGAGACATCCTGGATCTTCTGGAGGAGAAACAGGAGCAGCTGCTGGAAGAACTCCAGGAGAATCCGGAGGAGGAAGACTGTAAGAAATCTCACTTTTTGGTCATTTTTTCCTTGCAGGACTCCTGTATGTTATTCGTCCAATCAATATATAAATGACAGGCCAAAAAACAGTTACTCAAGCAACTGGATATGATTTTGAAAACGTCAGACGTTTCAGCTAGTATCCACTAGCTTTCGTCAGTGACTGAGAGACCAGAGGGGAAAGCAGGTTTATATACACAACCTGTTGATTGATATGCAAATAAAGTGAAGACAAATTTTTGGAAGTCGAAAAAGGAACAAAAGTCAGACAAGTCAAGACGAAATGATGCAAATTAGTCTGAAAGCTCCTGTTGTACAGAACAGGAGCTTAAGTGTTGTCTGTCCTCGGGGCTGGGAGTGCCAAATCCCAAGTGCCGGAAAGATCGACTCGTAGCCCCCCTTCCCTGTTGCGGGTGACCCAAATTGGAGATCAAACAGTTCCGAACCCAAAACCACTACACAGGCCAAAACCGACGAGAGGTGGGTAAAAAACCTAAGTAGCCGTTCTCTTACAGAACCAGAGAAATCACTGCTCTCTAAAGGTCTAAATTTTGCAGTAGCGCTCAACAAGATTCCCAGCATTGACATTGTCACAGAAACCGAGTCAGCAATTCGTCGGGCACGATTACCACAGAGACAAGCTGAAGCCTTGCGCACCAAAGTAGCTACCACCCTGAAAGTCTCCAAACCCCCTGCTAGTAACATCACACGGGAAGAACGAACCGCTCTCAAAGATTTGGCCACCAATCAAGACATATTGATTCTTCCTGCAGACAAGGGCAGATGCACAGTAGTCTTAGACAGGGAGCAGTACGACAGGAAGGTACAGGACCTATTGGGAGACAAAGACACCTACACGCCCTTGAAAAAGGACCCCACCAACAAGTTTAAAGGGAAAATCAGTTCAGCTCTCAAGAAATTGCAAACTGAAGGAGTTCTGGATCGCCCCACCTACCTAAAACTCAATCCCACAACGGAACAACCCCCTGCTTTCTACGGCCTTCCCAAAATCCACAAACAAAGTGTCCCTCTACGACCCATAGTCTCCAGTATAGGCTCTGTCACCTATGAGTTAGCAGGTTTTCTAGCCAAGATTTTGGGACCACTAGTGGGGAAATCTCAGCACCATGTACAGAATAGTGCCGACTTTGTCAACAAAATCAAAGACATTCATGTAGAGGACGATGAAATCATCACTTCGTATGACGTGTGCTCACTTTTCACCTCCATACCACCTAAGGAAGCAGTGTCAGTAGTCAGGGAAGCCTTGGAAGCCGACGATACACTTGCAGATAGAACCAACCTATCCATTGACCAAGTTTGTGAGCTACTAGAACTCTGCTTAGGATGCACATACTTTACCTACAAAGGACAGTTCTACCAACAAATGCACGGCTGTGCTATGGGATCACCAGTCTCACCAATTGTTGTAAACCTGTACATGGAGAAGTTTGAAAACAAAGCCCTCAGCACTTTCAATGACACTCCTCCGGCCAACTGGTTTCGATATGTAGATAGATGGCAACATGAAGTTCACACAGGAGCCAAGCCATGACAACATGCTCCCTTTCCTAGACACCAAAACTATCGTAGAGGAAGATGGTAACCTTCGTTTCGAAGTGTACAGGAAACCAACCCACACTGATCAGTACATGGCCTTTGATTCCCACCACCCTTTGGAACACAAACTAGCAGTGATCAAAACTCTCTTCCATCGTCCAGACAACATTGTCACTTCAGACCAAGCCAAAACGGACGAACATAGACACCTCCGAGGTGCCCTGGCTAAATGTGGCTACCAAAACTGGACTTTCAACAAAGCGCTCAAACCTTCAGATCAGTCTAAGAAAACCCAGAAGTGCAAACCATTGACCAACAAAAACAAGGCCAACATCACTATTCCGTATGTCCAAGGAGTATCTGAGAAACTCCGACGGATCTTCCAAAACTTCAACATAGCCACTAACTTCAAACCTCACTCAACCCTCAGACAAAGACTGGTACACCCTAAGGACCGACCTCACAAAGGTACCAAGGCGAATGTTATTTACAGACTCAAATGTGAGGAGCCCAATTGTAACAACACCTACATCGGAGAGACAAGTCGACCGATCAAAGTAAGATACAAAGAACATTGCCGACCTAGTGCCAACGGCTACTCCTCAGCTATTTTCCACCACCTACAACACAACCAGGGTCACTCTTTCAAACTCGAGTCCACGGATATCTTAGACCGCGAAACACGCTGGTGGGAACGGGGTGTTAAAGAGGCAATATATGAACGAATGTACAACCCCACCCTCAACGGGGAAGGGGGGCTACGAGTCGATCTTTCCGGCACTTGGGATTTGGCACTCCCAGCCCCGAGGACAGACAACACTTAAGCTCCTGTTCTGTATAACAGGAGCTTTCAGACAAATTTGCATCATCTTGTCTTGACTTGTCTGACTTTTGTTCCTTTTTCGACTTCCAAAAATTTGTCTTCACTTTATTTGCATATCAATCAACAGGTTGTACTTATAAACCTGCTTTCCCCTCTGGTCTCTCAGTCACTGACGAAAGCTAGTGGATACTAGCTGAAACGTCTGACGTTTTCAGAAGCTATAGTTCTGTAGTAAAACTTGAATAATTCAAACCAAGAAGTATAGCAACTACTCGTACAATAACAAAAAATCTGAGATTTTATACCTCCGGACTTTTAATTGTATATTTTCATATGTTGTTATGAATAGTTGATGGTGTTAAATTTTATTGTTAGATGTAGCGTTCCTGGTTGTGTTAACACAGGTCAACATTTTCATCTGCAGCTCATAACATGTACCCACGAACTTATGAAATTCTATATTTAATCTGCCGCAAGAAACTCGTAATGAAACTCAGAATGACAACCGGGACCGTTAAATCAGACGTAAATCAGACCGAGTCCCAAAAAAATCCGTCCACCCGAACGCGAGAAACAGCTGCGAACATAAAAATCCCAATGTAATACAATACCCTCCTGTAATACAATACCCTTCCTAATAAATTTGCCTGCCGAAATTGATCGTAATACGTAGGACGGCGGCGTCTTTTTTACCTTAGCGAAAATGGTCACCAGACCACAGAAACCATGGTAGCGTGGGCAAAAGTGCAATAGTTGTGGTGACGTTTACCTTCACGGAAGGAAAGCATACTGTTTTTATTTCTCGACCTCATCTTCTTTAGTTCCAAAAGAAAAAAAAAAGATTCGATGAAATGTGCCCCAACACATACCCAACCCGCGTAGGCATAAACGATACCATTTTGGAAAATGTATGGTACAGAAAACAAGAGAGATTCAGGAGTACAGACATAACATAATCAACCATGCATAAAGTGAACACAAAAAGGAATACAAGTTAGTAAAACGAATACAATCAAGTTCAAGTTTATTTATTTTTCCAGGGTGTACGTCAGATCAGGTGATCTGATTTTCAGGTATCTCTGATACGGATTATAAGATAAATACCGATGATAAGATAAATAAGATATAATAAAAGAATAATACAATAAAATAATTTTGTTTTTCCCAGATAGTCACGGGTACTCACTGGTATGGAAACCGAGTCGCCTCCGCCGTACCACGAGGCTCCGAACTCCGGGTCTCCCGTACAGAATGACGGCTATCCAATCCAACGAGCCAACACATATCCGGGTCCAAACGGAGTCGGTTTTGGACAGGTTCCATACCCTGTCAATCCTCCTCCTGTCACCACCCAACCTGTCGTCACTTCTAACGGTAGTAGTTTTCTTTAGTATATCTTTGTTTTCCTGAAATTCCTAAAACCTCCTTGTTACTACTTAGTTCAAGCGTAAAAAGCCTTCTAACGGTTTTTTTTGTCACTATTTTTCTTTTCTGTTCTTCCGTCATCTGGAGATATTCGGTAGCTAATTATATCAATATATCCAACACGATGATACAAAAACAATTAAGCTTTGATTCACCGCAAATGCAATTATGGGCACCAACGTGAGAAAACGCCCAGTGTATTAATTAAAGAGAAAATTCATCTTGTAATTCGCCAGGTGTCATCGTAGAGGAGAGTGTGGCGCCCCCTGTGGCCGCACTAGGTACTGCAGCCGCGCCTCCACATGATGGTAAAAAGAACTGCGGGAACTGCGACTGTGGGGACTGCGACTGCGGCGACTGTGGCAACTGTGGGGACTGCGACTGCGGCGACTGTGGCGACTGTGGCGACTGCGACTGCGGCGACTGCGACTGTGGCGACTGCGGTGACTGTGGCGCTTGTGGCGACTGTGGCGCTTGTGGCGACTGTGGCGCTTGTGGCGACTGTGGCGCTTGTGGCGACTGTGGCGACTGTGTCTGCGGCGCTTGTGGCGACTGTGTCTGCGGCGCTTGTGGCTGTTTGTTGGAATGTTTAAGTGGTATTTGCAATTAAAAAAACAAAGCCTGATTGTTGTAAATTTTGTTAGAATGTGTCGGAGAACCCAGAAACGATTTATTGAGAGGTTCCCCTTAAATACAATTATTATGTAATAATTGATTTTGGTCAGATTACTTATTTCACATTTATTACACATTATATTATCACATTTTTTTTATCTATGCAATGTCAGACTCAGCTTAGCAGCTGTCACAAGGGCGCTGTCCAATACCACTGAGGTGACGGTTTACACTGCTCTTAAATTTGTGTCTGTCCTTTAGAGCTACAATGTCCTGTGGGAGGGAGTTCCAGAGCTGTACTGTGGCTGGTAGGAATGTTCTTCTGTGTGATGTTGTGGATGACTTAACAGGTTCCAGAGCGTTGCTGTGTTGCGATCTTGACAGGCGGGTTTCACGACGATGTACGAATGGGGTCGGGAGTAAGCTGATGAGTGGTGCTTGGGCATCCTGGTTGTACATGCGGTGCAGGAGAGTGAGGGCCCCAACCTGCCGGCGGGGTGGGAACATCACTTATATACTAGCCTCTACCAGGCTCCGCGGATCGCTGGAAAAATAGTAGAAATTGGCCGAAATAAAGGGATAGTATACCAGAGAAGATCCAGGGCCATAGATGATAAAGTACGTAAACTAGAAAGGTAACATTTGTTTACCTTCACATGCTGAAGCCTAACAAACTACTACTCTGTTTATTCCTATTAAAGAATGTTTCGAACTTAGAGACCACATGTTAGAGAATAGTTAACCTTTATTGTTACATCATACATGTACGTAAGATGACGTTATCCACACATGTATTTAGCTTTGTTAGATCTTTAGTTAAGTTGTAGAAGACCATACAAAAGTCTCCTTACTTTTTTGTTGTGTCAATAAAGAATCTATAAAACACATTCATATACATCTATGGTGACCAGCCTCTCCACCTCTTTTCTCCCATTTGCTACATAATATAATCTAACACCACAGGATGTCTGCTACAGCACCTGGTTACCATGGTGACAGACGTCTGGTCTAGGCCATTGACCTTATTTGTTTGGAGAAGTGAAAACACGCAGACAAACGCACCGAAAGCCTGAGCAACAAAATGCAACAACTAATCAATGGGTATTTCAAAAACACATTCACAACCTCGTTCAAAATTGCATGTATTATATTTAGGCACATCTTTCCCTAGTTACTTTACGTCATTTAGACGTTGTTTGCGGTTGCTTAAGACATAAAAAATCCAAGAAGATATCAATATTCAATCGGACACTCCATCTTTAAACGTTTTCCCCACAGGTATCCCTCTATTGCCATTTATGAAACCGTATAAAACTGCTCATAATAAATTTCAGCATTGTTTCTTTAGGCATTATCACATGAACCAAAATGTACATTTTTGGATAGAAAAAAAAACAAAATATCATTTTTTATTCAGAAAATCGAAGTCATCAGCATTTAATAGGCAGAGATTCGTGGCAATTGTTAACTTACATGTTTGTACCGAATTTCAGCAAAAGTGCTTCATTTATCATGGCACAGGTGTCAGAAATCTACATTTTTAGCTAAAAACACCCAAATAATGCGAAAAATTGCAAACAAAATGAGCTGCTCTCATATCTACACTCAGATACTTCACTCAACATCGTCAGGACACAAACATTCCCCCACAGGTATCCCTCTATTGCCATTTATGAAACCGTATAGAGGTATTATCCTCTGCGTTGCTAGGGAGATGTATTTTCCTTAGCAACGGTTACCATGGAAACATGATATGAATTTCTGAGGCCCTGAAAATGAACAATTTTCCACCGATAAAAGTTTTCTTCACGTTTTACTTATGATATGCACTACATTTTACTGGGAAAGCAGCCCAGTGCCTCCTTAGCAACGGCCCTAGCAACGGTTTCCCCACAGAATGCCTGTGGGAATAGAACTTTTAGATACTCATATCTCCAGATTGGATTGATGGATTTTTACGATTTAAAGCTTAAAATGTAGGGAAAAGTGTAACAAATCAGATGAATTCATGAACCAGGCTCGAAAATGCAATCTGTATATTTGACAGGTTTTGAAAAGTAAACATTCCATTTTTTTACCAATTTTTACCGAAAAATCGAATTTCAAAAGCTCATAACTTCTCCTAGAAATGACATATCGGAACAAAATTGACATTTTTGTAATCCTTTGTTCCTGTTTTATCTGGCCACTAAGTAACATTGGAAAATATCCATATTTGATAATTTGACACTCCCCTTTGCATTATAAGTAGGAAAGGAAATGGTCCCCATGGGGTCAAAGTTCAAGGTCAGATAACAAGGTCAAAGCTGGGCACTCAACATGGTTATCATACATTTTCAAAAAGCTTGTGGGGAGGACTATCACATGAAGGCATTCGCGTTTTGTCCCTTGATTTGGTAACAAAATCTTGTCTGGCCCATGGACTAACTGTATCAAACAGGGCGGTTATTTACGATCTAGAACACGAGTTGCATAGCAACTAGTGACTCTATGCCACGCCTCCAGCATGGAAACTTTATTTTTGAACCAATGAGCGGCCAGTACTTTATCGCTCCTACAAGATGGAACTTGCATCCAAAGCTTGAATCGTTCGTCGTGCGCGAAGGTCACACCGCCCAGTTTCTCCAAACAGAGTCCCAGGAACACGTCCTCGAGAAACAGGTACTTCAAGGTCAACGACACCTGGTAGAGCAAGCCCGTCATGTCGTTAGAAAGTATGTAGGCGAATCCGCAGGGGTATTTGGGAAACGTGTCCCTGGGATAGTCTTGCCGACTGAGGTACCACTTGTTCCCGGGAGTGCGTTTCGGCTTCCCTCCGGTGTTGTATATCCAACCCATCACAAATCTCTCTGTCTTGTTTGAACCCAGTCCCCGCAGATGTCTTAGTAAGGTAAAGATATTCACAAACGTGTTGTCGTCAGCTTTCATAAAGAACTTCGTTTCGGAGCAGAATTCTGACGCCCACTTCAGACACATGACGGTCTTCAGAGTCAAATTTCTATACGAATCGATGAAGTTCCCCTGGATGATGTCTTGGTGGACTTGGCTTTCGTGGTCCAGTCCTCTTTGTGTCGTAGCCTTGTCGGTTGTTCCCACTGCGAATAGCGTTCTGATACCAGGTATGCTAGTGTCGTTGGCCCATGTCTGCCGGATGGCGCGTCGCTGGGCGTGGTTTCCTGGCGACGAGGTAACCATGACGACGAGAATGACGTCACCACCGCTGCATTTCTCAGGACTGTTGATGACGTAGGTGTAAGGATATGGACTGACGACAGCTGATTCATTGGTGCTCGAACGGACGGACCCAGTCACTGTCATGTTGAAAAGGTCCCGGGTTCGAGTCCTGCCATGCCACCGATCTCGTGCTCTTGGGAAAGGCACTTTAGACGACTTTCCTGGGTATTGTCTTGTCCTGTATTCGTCTTCTAGATATGCATTGGTGGTGACATAAAATAAGTTGATATAACTTGAGTGTACCTTCACCATGTCTAGTCATGAAATGTTGGAATGAAAAAAATGGGTAGATGGCCATTATGAATGAATGGATGGATGGATGGATGGATGGTTGGATGGATGGATGGATAGATGGATGGATGGGTGGATGGATGGATGAATTTTTTTTTTATTTACTTCAGATTCACCTCAAAACAAGGCTCGTGAGAGCCACTTACATGTTTTGGGTTACAGTGATGACTGTGTGGTCAGATATTTGTTCACCCTTGATTTAAACCGTTGGAGGTTATGGATAAATGAATGCATAGATGGATGAATTTACGAATGAATGGATGAATAGATGAATGAATTGAAGACTGAATGAATTAATGAATTGATGGGTGAATAAATTGTTGGATGAATGTATGAATTGATGAGTGGATGAATGAATAAATGAAGGAAGGAAGGAATCTATGGATGGAGGGATGAATGTTAACCGTATGTATCTATAATGTAAAACACAACAAACACTCATTTCAAGCCGCAAAAGGGTCAGCCCGCACAGCTAAGGCCACACCGATTTAATTTTATGGATCACATCCTCTGAAGACCCCCAAACTAGTGCGCGCGGGCGAATAAAAGAAAATCCGGCCAAAAATAAAGATGCTACTAAACCACAGGAATACAAAGCACGTATTGTGAATTCGCGACAATACATAGCGACGTATACGACAAGCCGGTACATGCTGGCTTTTTGCGGAATTTATGAATCAGCATTGAGTTATTGAGTCGTGGAGCTTCAGTAGCCTGGGTGCCATCCTCCTAGAGCCAGGCCATAGCCTCGAATGACGTGATCTTATCATCTATAAAATTAAGTCGCTGCGGCCTAACTAACAAAAAGGCAACACATGTACCTTCTGAAGCATTCCGGTTTGAAGTTTGATAGGGATGGGGTTTTTGTTGGAACCAGTTGATGTAGATAAATCCTGCGAAGATGCCCAGACAGACGACTGTCTTCAAGGTCTGTCTGACCTTCAGGCGGACCATGGCTGTTCTTCCGGTCTGTAATATGAGGAGAGTCTGTAATCACGTGACTATGGCGTATTATGGCTGTGACGCGCCGATTTTTCATCGCAAATATGCAAATTATAAGAGGCTATTTGCATAAATTATATCAATTGATCATATTATCCAGCCAATGACAGGATTAACTTAAGTAAGTTAAATAAGGCTATTCTAGCGTTTCCTCATAAATTATGCAAATAATGTACTTATTTGAATAAATTATGTTTAGTGATGTTCAGCTTCACTGAGTATTTAATTCCCAGCAGTTACCATAATAAAATTGGGCCAATTTTTCCCTTAATTATGCAAATTAGGTCCTCATTTGCATAATCAATTTTGCCAATGATCTTGTCGTTCTCAATTACATATGTCACAAGTGTTTCATAGCCCCAATATGGAATACAGCAGATTTATAGAATTTCCTCATTAATAATCAAAATTAGATCCTGATTTGCATACCCACCAAAAATGTCGACGATCCATCAAACGGTTGTTTAGTTATCCTCTCTAGAAGATTTTCAAAGATTTTCATCCTGCAGTTCCAGAACAAGCTGCTAGGGGGGCCAAACTCACGTGACTTCTTCCTGAGGACAAGAGCTACCTGTCATTTAAAATTCATGACCCTAGCATGTCCAGATCACGAGATATCAAAACCGGAAGTTGCGCTGCAGTACCAAGGGAAGCCACTAGGGGCCCCAAAATCTAATCATTTCCAGTTTTTGCCACACCCTACCAACACACCAAGTATGAAACCAATCCATCCAGCCCTTCTTGAGTTATTTTGCTGAAAGACAGACGGACGGACGGACGGAACGACGGACAAACGCAACTGAAAATATAACCTCCATGACATGTCATGGAGGTAAAAATGTGCAATTATTACCTGTACGGTGCCTTACCTAGTCTCCAAACCTAAGAGCAGCGAAATATTTACCAATACCCAACCTTACCTTGTCTCCAGACCCAAGAGCCGCGCATATATTACCTATACGGTGCCTTTCCTGGTCCCCAAACTTACGAGCCGCGCAATTATTATGTGTACGGTGCATTATCTGGTCCCCAGACCTAAGAGCCACGTATTTATTACTTGTACGGTGCCTTACTTGGTACCTAGACCTGAACAGATCTAGATATAACATGCAAACCCTGTCATGTCTATGAATGGAAAATATTTATTATTCAAAAGCCCCTTTGTGTCTGTGTGCTCCCTTGAGAGCTGTCACAGCATAAATACACCTGAACGTGGACTCCGAGTTATTTCTAAAACACAATGATACATTGTATTATCCGGAAATCGCATGCTGCAAAGCAATTCAGTGCCTTTTAACGATAACCAGTGATTTAGGAGTCTGTTATTGTTGCTTGCCCTGCAGATACAGTCACAATGTGTAAGTTTTATGTATAACACAATGTATCATATTGTGCACCTGTCTGGCACTCTGGAGTGACGTCATCACAGTCTGTACGCCTGGAGAGAGGCCAGAAGAGAGCGCTCCGCATCATCCTCGGAGACCGTTACACGGCCTATGACACAGCCCTGAAGGACGCTGACGTGCTTACATTGCCAAAGAAATCACGCAGTATGTACATCCCATTATCAACACTAACAGATTTCTTGACCTGCCATGTACTTGGACCACTTCTTGTGGGTGTAGTTCTTGTATTGCTTCTAGACCACACTAAGTCTTATTTTGTCAACACAATATATTATAACTACGTACATTGTATTAGATATACATGTATTTGAATTATGCTTCTAAATTGATGTATTTTTTACTTGTTATTGATGATTGTATATGTGTTTTTGTATGGGGAAGGGCAGTATGTAAATGTGCGTATGCACCTGTTTTGCCCTCCCTTTCATTTTGTAGAAAATCATAATAAACAAATAAACAGACTGACCTATACAAGAATAGGTAGAATTGCTTTTAGGACAACTTTCCTACATTTTGGATGGTACAGAAGTAACTTATCACAAGGAAGGGCACATGGAATCCAGCAGTTATTCGACTGTCACGCCATGTAATGTAGATAATGCCTAAGCTTGTGGAGGAGGGGGGAGTTCCTCTTCTAAAGCCTTGGTCACAACCCGCCGTACGTGCTTCTGCGTGCTGTCTACGTGCAAAAACGTGGGCAAACGTAGGGGATCCGTGAGTACCACCTCCGTACGGAATCCTACGGATTTGGGAGCACGCAGACACGCCGTAGAACTTTAAGTGCATGTAAAACTTTTCATGCGTGCGGCCTGCGGATTCATCACCCGTGCGTGCGAGTACGGGCGATGCGCGTGCCCTGTACAGCCTATGAGCGTACAACGCACGTTTTCAGAAAACCGTAGCAGACGTGGCCTCCCAAAAAAACGTACGGACAAAAAGCACGCACGGTGGGTTGTGACCGAGGCTTATGTTATGAAATCTAGCCCTAATTGTTCTGGCTCCCTTTCTTGGCATGGGTTGTCGATCCATGATTCAGCAAACCTGGACTCCCTTGAAGGGTCTAGTCGTTCAGTCTGGCCGGATGGCTGATCAAACGAGGGTAGCTGTGGCGGGAATCTGTCATTGATCCCCGTATGGTACCAGTATGGCAAGTCCCCATCCAGTCTCTTTGCAATTTTGCGTACTCATGGCAGATTTTCCTAAGAAGGGGGTAAGGCCACACCAATTTAATTTCTTGGTTAACAGATTCGCCCGCTTCATTTTTTTTTCTGATTTGCAAATAAAAATAAAAATTCAGAATCAACTGCAAAATGCTCATACTTTGCCCTGAACAGTTGAAAACAGTCCTTTTCATCCTAGTTGTTACAGTTATTCGATCTTTCAATGCAATAGTATCATTAAAAGTTCAAAATTCATTGTTTAAATTTTGAACCAGCCTGGTGTGTTGACGTTATGGCTACTATCATACCATTTTGGGCCATAATAGGATGCCTAGGCCTGTTATTTTTTTTTTCGCCCGCCCGCTCCATTATTTTTCTAGAAAAATCTGTTAACCAAGAAATTAATTTGGTGTGGTCTAATAGAGGAAATAATCATGTTAAAGTTTACTATTGTCTTCAGTTTTAAATCCTATAAAGCGGCATAGGATCTATGATATGTACAAAATGCAGACCTCAGATACCATGCTTTTCCATTGTTATATATGGACTGCTAATACAACTATTTCTTAGTTATTAGATAGTTGTCTGTACTGTACTAAACAGTAACAGAAGTGGCAATAAAACAACATTTAAACCACTATTTTCTGATATGATATCTCAATTTACATTGTATAATCAATATCTCTATTAAATCTCATATATCTGCTGAAAGAACTCTTTATAGAAGAATAAATACACTGAGTCATGGTCTTTTACAAGACATTTCAGCCCCAAAATACAAAATAACAGTAGACTGTACCTTTCTCCTGTACACTGGTATTAAAATCAAACCACCTGTAATAAATTCAGAATAGGGGTACCTTAAACATTGCCCACAGAAATCCATTATATCATTTGGATACACAACTTTAAAATCATATTACTTTTTGTCTATTTGTAGACTATATTTTGCCTCGTATGTCCTAGGTATTAGGAGCAAACATAATTATGAGGTGGTGGAAATCTTGTTTATTCATGTTAACACATGTGAAGTCAACAAAGTAATTGATTTCGATATATTGCACTGAAGGTCACAAAAAATGGTAACAACATTGTACAGGATAAAGATTCACGTTACTTTGATAAACATCAGCCGTGCAAGCTGTGCACTTTGTATCTGTATTTGTGACCTTATAGTTGCAGTTATAGTAATATGCAAGTTTTCATTATATAGCCACGATGGTCCAGGTTATTAGAAGTTATCACACAAGCACAGATAGACCTATTCATGAGAACCTCTTTGGAATCAGTCATATCCTCGATGAATCAGTGATATCCATTCACCAGTTTCCCATCCCCAGAATGCAATGCGAAAACAGGGGGCTAACTCTCATTTGCATGGGACATGAAGGCATCGGAATGATCCTGTTGACGTTAAACAGCTTGTTTTTCAGTGTGTTTTGAGGTGTTGGGGCATTTTATGCTCAGCATTAATTAAGTTACTATGGGCCGAACCTGATACAAATAGAGAATGAAGTTTTTGTGTTCTTTTCAACATAGAACATGTGGTTTGTAACGTTACAGCATCAGTATAGCGTTACCACTATGACGTTACAAACCACATATTCAAAAAAATTCATTCTCTATTTGTTTTCAGATTCAACCCATAGTAATTTAATTAATGTTGAGCATAAAATGTCCCAACACCTCAAAACACACTAAAAAGCTGTTAAACGTCAACAGGATCATTCCGGTGCCTTCTTGTCCTATGCAAATGAGGGTTAGCCCCCTGTTTTCGCATTGCATTCTGGGGATGGGAAACTGGTGAATGGGTGAATTTATTTTAGAAATTCTGCTTCGTACGATATCGTTGATAAAGGTTTAGCCGGTGTCCATTCACTGTCAGACATTGTGAATTATGAATGAAAATTTTATTGTGTCAAAGATTACATGTCCTGTCTTATGTCTTTCATCAGTTTCACAAGGCTGGTGTGAGATCATCACTCTTCCGGTGTGAGACCACATGGCCACCTGAACTCATTCCCGTGCGCATGTATCCACTTGTTCGCAACTGAAATCAACAAAAATAACAAATCGTGTGTAGGTCATACTTGTGACATTTAGGCACAAACATTTGCATTTGAAACGGTTCGCCGTCGACACTTAGAGGTATGTAGTTTGTACTTGTGACACTACCAATTTTTTTTCTTATTTTTCTTATTTTCTTATGTTGAGAAATATTTTCTTGCCAGGGGGATTTTCAAGAAAATTCAAGAAACATTCTACAAAGATTTTGTATGTTGATTCTTACCCAAAGAATTGTATTCTTCTTTTTCTTAAGAAAATAAAACATTTCTACTATCATGCTCACCAACAAGAATCTTAAGAATTTTTAGAATTTTAAGAAAGTTTACGGTATTTTTTTTCTGCTACAAGAAATATTTTCTTGTGGACAGAATCGTTGCTACAGCTAGAAAATTAACTCAAGAAACACAATCATGTGTTTATTGAATTTTCTTGCTACGGGGATTCTTTAATTTCTTGTTCAAGGAATAATTTTCTTGCTACAAGATACATTTTCTTTGTACAAGGAAAAACAAGAAAAAGCATTTTTGGTGTTTGTAGATTACCAGGCTAATACAAGGTTCACCATCATCATCTGGTCGTGACGTTTTCACGAATGTTCATGACCCTTTTCCTCCAGCCCTCCCTGAGAACACTAGACAGTCGTTTTCTATAAGGTGCCTATATCAAACTTTCACTTTTCATATTTGTTGCATAAGGCCACACCAATTTAATTTCTTAGTTAAGGGATTCGCCCGCTTCATTTTTTTCTGATTTGAAAAAAAAAAAGATTCTGGTTCAGAATCGACTGCAAAATGCTCATATTTTGCCCTGAACAGTTGAAAACAGTCCTTTTCTTCCTAGTTGTTCCAGTTATCTTTCAATGCAGTGGTTCCATTAAAAGTTCAACATTCATTGTTTGAATTTTGAACCAGCCTGGTGTGTTCACTTCATGGCTCCTATCATATAATTTTGGGCCATAATAGGATGTCTAGGCCTGTTTTTATTTTTATTTTTCTAGAAAAATCCGTTAACCAAGAAACTAAATTGGTGTGGCTTAACAAACAATAAAATTCACAGCACACCATTTATTGTAGCGACAGGAATATTGATATCTTACTCCATTTAGAGCCCATGAGAACAGGACAACCAGCATGCTGTGAATCCTCCTCAAAATCTAAAGACTTTTTTAAATCATGGAACATCACGGCACTGTTCTGAAACAGAAAGGGGAAGGAAATAGTCTTGAGATAATATTTTGCCCATTGCTAAAATCTTAGTTGGCATCAGTGGCAAAGGCTGTCAACTATCTTCTGTTGTGAAAGAAGTCTAAAGGAAAATCCTTGTGTGTTTAGTTAAAACTGTTAATTTGGTCTAACACAAAAAATTCTCTCACCCAGAAATTCTCTCTTCTAGAGCTTTCGACCAGTCACTCTGGTCTTCCTCAGTAGACTGACCCAGTGAAGCTTGTCACGTGGCTTCTTTGAAGTGTGACGTCATCACTGGGTCAAAGGTATCTTGTAGACGATGTCGGCCCCCGTCGCGGTTCAATGAAGGCTGATGGGCCCTGGTGTATATGGCTTCCTTCACCCCTCTCAAGAAATAGTCTTGTTCAGTATCCACAAGAAGCCACGTGACAAGCTTCAGTGTCAGTCTACTGAGGAAGACCAGAGTGACTGGTCGAAAGCTCTAGGTGAGAGAATTTTTTGGGTTGGAACAAAAGTTTTAGATTTAAACATGTAACTACCAACACAGATGAACTTTCATGATAGAAAATCCTTGTGGTTCTTACTTTGACTGCAGGGACAGCCAGATTCAGACGAGGAAAGACTGTTGCTCCACCAGCTTCAACGTCACTAAGCTGTGATAAAGAAACAAAACTAAAATAGCATGAAAGTTCATATTTGTTTTGAACAAATCATTACAAATAACAACAGTGGAAAGAATATGTTTACCTACAGATGTATAAAGCTGTGGAATGCACTACCAAATGAGGTTAAGGCTATATCCGATGAGAGGCGGTTGAAGAGATTGATCGAGCAATTGTATATGTATGCAACTTAATGGTTTTTATTCTGATCATGATAGTTGTTATATTCAAACCTTTTAGTAATGATAATATTAGTTTAATACTTAGCCGGTAATTTGTTCCTTCAATGATTATAGCTATAATAAGTACCTTGTCTGACATGTAACCTCAACGTGTATGTAAATTTGTAGTCATATTTTTTGTACTGTGTGTGTGTAATGTGAGTAGTATATAGTCGACACGCTGCTATCATTTATTCAGGCGGAGCAGGCGGAGCACGGCGGAGCAGGTCAGAGGTCACCGTCATTATGTTAACGAGTATGCAGATTTATGTTAAGGATATGCAGATGCATGCAGGAATGTAGCTAATGAGCTAAATTACAGGTCAGATAAAGGTCAGTGTGCACTTTTGAACCCGGTTACCTGGGTAACCTGTCGTGGGCGTGGTTAACGTCAACCTCTGTAGTAGCTGATTGGCCGCACGGCAAGCGTTGGTGACTTGTTCTGAGGATCCGGGGTAGTCGATTGGTCTGCATGTACTTTACATGTGAAGTAGGTGACGTACTTCACGGCGATTGGTGGACGGTCTGTGGGTGTCTGTCAGAAAAGTGTATAAAGTGGCAACAGAAACCGGCCAGAAACCAGTCCCTCTTGCGGAGACAAATCTGCGTCCAAGTCCAAGTCTGTCGACAGCGAGCGAAGAACGAGACCGAAAAGCCATGGCACATCAGCAGCAGCAGCAGAAGCGCAAGTCTTCACTGGTGTGTGTATGTGTGTGTATGTTTGCGTGTGTGTGTGTGTGTGTATGTGTATGTGTATGTGTATGTATGGGTATGTGTGTGTGTGTATGTGCATATATACATTTATCGATATACATATATCGATATAAACGTGTTGCTCCGGAGTAAAATATTACTCCGGAGTAAGTATTTTTGGAGTAAGATATTACTCCGGAGTAACTATTACTCCGTTTTGGAGTAAAATTTTTACTCCGGAGTATGTGTATTTGTAGCAAGTAAGTATATTTGTCGTGGTTGCCCGTATCGTGTATCCTCACATGCATGATGTAAAGATATATATATCGTATATGCATATACATAACAGTCGGAGTATTTGTGTGTGTGTGTGT